TGTGCTCCCCACCAGAGGACAAGGACACTCATTGCCAGAGGACCAGGGGCTTGAAGAGGTGGTGGATGGAATCACGGCACGCATTCCTGCCCTTCCCCTATCATTTGCACACACATGTACCAATTCACAATGTGTCTGCTATCTTAGCCGTGATGCACTGGAGACCAATGGTATCATTTGCTCAGCAATGATGTCATTTGCTCTGGAGAGCCTTTTGTGAGAATCCTGTGGAAGACTTGCAAGTGTGACTCGAACACTGGTACTTATTCCCCTGCTTGGCTCTTTTGCTTGAGAGGCTGAGCCTCAGGGGGTGTTCAAGAGCTTCTGCATACACTCTGGGTTGAACCAGCCACGATTCTGTACCTCCAAGAGCAGTGGCTTATCCCTTGTTATAGCTCCCCTCAAAATGGAGTAGGACCTCCCTTGGTAGTGTTGTTGTCCTCTGTAAGCTCACTGTGAGGTGACTGCAGTCCCCTCACACACTGGGGCAGGACTTTCTATCCCACCACGATTGCCGCACATTCCAGCGGCTTGCAGGGTGGGCTGATGCACGCATCCCTGTGTGCTCAGAGACGGCAGGCAACTGACTCTTGCTCGCAAACGACTGCTGAAACAGACCTTTGATATCTTTCCTTTCTGGTCCTTTTACATTCTTTGCAGTCCTGTAATGAGATGGGTAAAAAAGAGAGATGGGTTGTTTCCTTGGCACAAGTCCAGAACTTGTTGAGGAAAGCATGCCTTGCACTTGCAAAAGATATTAGTGGAGACGCTTGCACAGACACTTCTGGTATCATATTCTTGGGCAAGATTCTCACCACATCTCTTGAAGTCACCATGTTGGAGGCTTTGGGCAGCTTCCAGTCACAAGATTCACATGGGAAAAGGTGCCCTGTGTGTACCATGAAAGGAGGAAGCAATGCAGTTAATTAATGTTTTTAAAATCTTGGTGGGGGGGGGGATGCTGCAAAGGTTTGTTTGGTTGGAGGGTTGTTTTTACAAGTGCTTTGTAAAATATTGAGTATAAAAGCAGATATATTAAGGGAGAGACAATACATCCGTCTGATACAAGCAAGAATACAGCGAAAATAGAAGAAAATATTAATGTTGGGAGAGTCCGACTTTCATTCCTGGAAATTCAATAACCAATCAGTTTGAATCCACCTTTATATTTGGATATTGGTGGTGGACATGGGAGGGATGGGTCAGATCCTCGTGACGTCAAAAGTAGGGAAGTGAAGGGATCCGTACTGGGGCTTGGAATCCAACAGATGGACTCCTGCCTGCTTGGTCAGGCTGTGCATCTGGGTTCCCAGTGGGCATGCCCAGCATTCACCCAGCGCTCATCAGGCACCCCCATGCACACAACCACTGTGTGAGCAGTGCAGCCGCTTTGTCCCTGAAACCACAAGAGAAAGTGAAAAGGGAGACATTCCCCTTCTCTGATATTCCTAGAACCAAACGGGATATCCAGTGAAGCTGTTTGGTGGGAGATTCAGGACAAAGAATAGGAAATACTTCTTGCACACAGAGCATAGTTAAACTATGGAATTCACCTCCCCAAGATACAGTGGTGGCTACCAATTTGCATGGCTTTCAAAGAGGGTTGAATAGATTCATGGAGGAGAAGGCTAGCAATGCCTACTATTCCTGGAGGCTCCATGCTGCCTCTGTGTGCACACCTGTGGCTGGAAAGCATGGGCGGGAGGGTCCTGCTGATGGGTTTGCTATGGGCAACTGGCTGGCCACTACATGAACGGAAGGCTGGACTAGAGGGACCTTCTAGACCCAGCGGGGCTCTTCTTAAGTACCTGTCTGATCATATGATGGTAACTAGATAGGTTCTGTATGCAGATTGTGCTGTAGAAATCATGAATGATACAAACGTTTTGATGGGGAGGGGCATGGTTCTGCAGCTTGCTAGGCTTAAGACAGACCACCAGGCATCCTTGCCAGGACCATTAGACTCTTTTCATTTCACACTCCCTCACTGACCCCACTCTGGGTTAATTTTTGTTATTTATTCTGCCTCAGTCTGTCCCCCACCCACAAAGCTGGTGGAGGGAGACTTGCACAAGTAGTGAATTTATTTATTTATTTGTTTATTTTTCAATTTATATCCTGCCTTTTTCCTACAAAGGGCTCAAGGCAGCTTACATCTCCTCCTCCATCTTATCCCCACAACAACAACCCTGTGAGGTAGGTTGGGCTGAGTGTCTGCGACTGACCCAAAGCCACCCAGTTGGCTCCATGGCCGAGCGGGGACTGGAACCCAGATCGTCTGAGTCCCATTTGCATGCTCTTAACCACTACACCACACTGGCTCTGAATTCACCACACTGAATGCAAACGTGGTTGTTGTAAGTGTCATTGTCATCACATACAACAGCATCTGTAACTCTCCAAAATCGCTTTTGATTCTAGTCCTGCCTATCTGGGGCTCCGGCCATGGGCCACTTCTGCTGTGTGGATGCTAACAGGTTGCCCTGGAGCAACGCAGAGCTCAGCAGGGAACAGGTTCCACACTCTGGGGAGGGGTCCCCTTCTGCACAACTTTGTGCGCCCTCCTTTGCTCCATTTTAGCTTCCACAGAATCTTTCAGTGGGGAATTCCATAAGGTGTGTATTAAGTCACTGGATCTGACTTAAAAGGCTTCAGAACAGTTGCCTGTTTATTCAAAGCTTGTAAAGTTTTTTTTAAAAAATCAAACCTAACTATTTTAATCAAACCAATCAGTTCTCGATGGGCAGGAATGGTAGCTCAGTAGTTGTTTTCTTAGCAAAGCAAGATCCTGTGCATATCAAGTTCCCGTTCACAGCATCTGTTCTGCGTGCTGCTGCCAAATTCGGGGCATTTGTACGGGAATACATTTCCATTGATCTCAGCAAGGTTTCTGTGAAAATATGTCGAGGAAAGAAAACTCTGTTCTCCTTAGGAAGGGGTGCGCTGTTTGATTCCGCAAAAATGCACTTCCCATGGTAACCACTGTGAGGATATTTGCTATGATCACTATTTTATGCAGCAGTCTTGAAATGCACAGCCAGTGCTGGCCCCAGGTTTCGGAGGGTCCTTGGTCAAGACACACTCTAAGAGTCCCTTCCTTCAGGGAGCCTAACTGCTTACCAGCTTTCTCATAAACTGCCCTTTCTCCTCGCCTACATTCTCTTCACTGCTACTATGCAAATACTCGACAGACATTTGCTAGGCCCAGACGGAAGGGTCAGAAGGTTTTAATTAGGCCCGGACACCTCCTGCTCCTCCTCAGGTGTCTGGGGCCCAGGCGATCGGGGTGCTAGGCCCTGCTTGACCGTGGAAACAACGGGGTGACTCTGGGCCAGTCGCAGACACTCCACCCAGCCTACCTCACAGGGTTGTTCTTGTGAGGATATGAGCAAAAGCCACAGGAGGGGAATGATGTAAACCCCTTTGAGTTCTTTAAAAAGAAAAGGGTGGGATATAAATCTAACAAACAAGCAAATAAATGGCCTCTGCCCTGTGGAACTCACCATCTTAAATTCAGCTCAGAGATGGTGCTGAGGGTAAAGAAGAGAAGGGAGTGGATTCAATTTAGTAACTCATAAAGAATTTCGTCTCGATAGGGGGAGAGGACAAAGGGACTGTGACCTGGACTTCATGGAGAAGGTGGCTTCTGAGGAGAGGCTTGAAGAAAGAGAGGGAGAAAATATCACCATGATGTTCAGCAGGGCCATTCTAGGCATCGGAAGCACAGAGAGAGAGATTGAGAGAGAGAGAGAGAGAGAGAGAGAGAGAGCGAGCGAGCAGAGGGCAGAGGGCAAATTCCAATTCCATACTTCCTAGGTAATTGTGTAGTGCAGAACACAGTCATCTGTTTTCCAAATGTTCCAACACATGCCTTGGGCCAAAACATGTATCAGAATCATTATTAGAAATGTATAATTGGGACACTGTGCCTTTAGGCCGCCATCCTATTCCTATTGGAATCCCATTGAATTTAAGGGGACTTATGTCTGAATAGGTGTGCATAAGATTGTGCTGTTAGAACTACATATTTCAATGTGACTTAGTATGTGGTTTTTGGGGACAGGTTCCTCTTTACCTTGGATATAATGGGGCAAACTCAGGATGGAATTTAGTTATGAGTAAACATATTTGAAAGCAGCATGACCCAGAAAGAGACTGATTGGCCCAAACCTAAGCAAGCCCCAGTGCACACAGCGGGATCACTTGCAAGTAAACATGACTAGGATTGCACTGTAAGTCTGCCACCCTAGGCATATTTACCTGAGAGGAATGTACAATTGTGCTGGAGAACCTTGATGTGTTCACCTCCAAATGAACTCCATGTGGTTTGCTAAGAGCTGTCCATGCAACTTGGCACGTGCTGTACAGGTAATGTACAACACAACACCCTCCAATGAAATAACCATGCCATAGGTGAGGCATTTGATTATTTGCAAACAGACAAACCATTTCCCCACCCCAACCATCCAGGGAGTTGGATGTTTAGCACTGATAACATTTGGGGGAATAGTTCATGCCATGTAGCAAAACTTAGGCGCCCCATTGCTGGGTGCTGCAGCTACTGCCTTACTCAGAGGTGGGGCAACAACTTGGCAGATATAATTCCAGCACAGCAAGCAGTGGATGGGCAGGTCTCACAGCCAGCATCAACCAGAGGAATGGCTGCACCAGCAGAAAGCCACTGACAGGAGCCCCATGGCAGAGAATGGGGCTTCTGCTCTGCACCACTGCAATCTACTTGCTTGTGGGCCTCCCATTTTGGCTCAGACCAACATGGTGGTGAGAAAGAGGAGGGGCAAATAGCACTGCTGCTCTGCCTGCCCTTCAGCAAATGACAAGGAAGAGGATGGGCAGTCATAGTAGCTGGGAAAGATGGTGGTGAGAAGGTAGATTCACTGATGGAGGGGCTCCATGAAGGCATCTTGCCCACAGACAGCTCCATGAGGTCTGGTGACTGCTGTGGTCTCATCAAACTCTCTCTGCATGTTTACCACAAACAGGTCCAGAGTCTGGAACAACACAACCAAGTCCTGCATACCAGGTGGAACTTTCTGAAAGAACAAGACCACTCCCTTTCTGACTTAGACATCAAACTCCTCTATGACCAGTACATGAACAAACTGAGCCGCGAGGCCCGGTCTATCGATGTCGAGAAAGAACAGTTGGACTCAGAGCTTGATGAAGTGCTAGAGGCCATGGATGCCTTTCGGAACAAGTAAGTGTCTCCTCTTCCTCTTCCCCTCCCAGGTATTTCTTGTTGCACAGATTCATACAAGCATTCTAATTTGATTCCAGGGCAGCATCAAGAGTAGAGATGGTTTGGCACCTGCCAAGTCCCTGCACCCTCACAGGGGCCCGTGGACAAGCGTTGCTGTTCCTTTTCCCCCAGCAACCTGCTTGTTCACCTGCCTCTGGCCTTGTGGGTGGGAGCGGAGCAGGAGCAGCCAGAGACGGTGGTGATAAGAAGGGAGACTCACTTGGGCAGGTTCCCACTGAAGAAATCTTGCCCGAGGGCCCTCCAGAGCTGAGCTGATTACCTCTAATCCGTCACGTTTCGCATAGGCACCACAACCTTCAATAATTATATCATGCACATCATAACTGTATTTACTGCAACAACCCTTTATTACAAAGCAGTGACTTTAGTCTGAGATGCGGAATTTCAGGAGTGCTTATTAAAGGAAAGCAAGCTACTTTACCTAGCGCTGAGAAAATGATTTTCAGATGGGCCATGGGTTGCCATATGAAGAACTGATCAGCAATGTCCTCCTCCCTCCGTTAGCTCCTAAAAGTTCTCTTGCAGGTTTTGTAGGGATGGACAAATCAGTCTGTTGCTGTTCTGTTGCTGCAGGGTCAATTTTGGTGAAAAATCTGCCTATAGTCACTTGTTTTTTCCTGTGCTGCAGAACCATCCAGAAATGAAAGACTACATTATTGTTCATCAGATTCAACACTCTGTTCATTACATTTATGCTGGGGTGGTGCTTCGCAGTGAAATCCTGGCACAGGCACGCTCCTGCAGAAAAGAAGGGTGCAATCTCGGCCATCTTCCCCACCCCCCACCACAACCAGCATGATCGCGGCCATCTCCCCACCTTCCCGAGTGGAGAGATGGCCATGATCGCAGTTGCATTTGTGCAGGAAAGACATGTGTGATCATGGGTGCGCTCCTGCAGGAAAGACGAGTGCAGCATAGCACAGCCGCAATCACGCGCGTCTTCCCTGCACAAACGTGACTGCGATCGTGGCCATCTCCCCACTTGGGGGCGGGTGAGGAGATGGCTGCAATCTTGGTGACCACCCCATGCGGAGTTCGTGACCCAAGTCAAAATTTTCATGAAATTTTTGTTCGCAACCCGATTTGGTCATGAACCAAGGTGTTTGTGAGCCAAGGTACCTCTGTAGTTTTGCATATCATTTCCCGCATATCCCCATTTTTATATACCTCATTCCCTCGTATAGGTGTTTTCCATGCAACTTCTATTAGTGTATTCATTTTTGTATGCAATCTTTGCAACGTTCATTGAAAATTTGGAGCACTGTGCAGTCTGAAGGGTAGCTCTACTCTGCTCTGAATATTAGTCTCATATTATGAAAAGGGCCATCCATCACTAAGTAGAACAGCATGTGGTTTTCATGTGGAAGGTCCCAGGTTCACTTCCCAGCATCTCCAGGTAGGGCTAGCAAAGAGCCCTGCCTGAATCCCAGGGGGGCCTCTGCAGTGTCAATGCTACTGGGATGGATGGACCAAGAGTCTCACACTGTATAAGGCGTGTACAGTCCAGGAGGCAGACCAACCAAAATCCTCCACCATTGCTATTTGGAAGAAGTTGCTTTGTAAACCTGCAGTGATGTTTTGTAGGCACCAGTGTTGCTGGGCTAAGTAGAGCAGGAGTCGTGGGGACCAGGTCCCCCTCTTGTGCCACTCTCCCCTTTGGCTGGATCCTGTGAACAACTCCCAGGCAGAGCAGAGCACAAGCCTGGATTGCCTCCAAGGACATTTGTGACATTATGGTGCCTGTAAGAGATCTGTCCCCTTTCAACTAACAACTGCCCCCCTCCGTTTAGACTTACTTAAATGAATGATGTCATTAACATCAGGTTGGTTTGTTGGCTTGAGTGGTGGATTGTGTGTTGGTTGAAAAGCCAAGTACAAAGTTCAGCCAAACTGAAAAGAAACAGGAGAAGCCAGAGGAGCTTTATGTATAATTATGTGAAATTTCAGTATACACACACACCCTCCCATCTCACTTGTCTATATCTTTTCTCTGTGTTCCTTTCTCTATCCTGCCCTCTTGTACTGTCAACCTCCCATTTAAACCCAAGATTATAATCTCTATTCCCCTCCTACGTTCTTTTCCTTTGCAGCTTCCTGGCATTCAAATTCCCTTCCATCTGACATTCATTGTTTCTTTCCTCTAGGTACTTGGCAAGTAACTTCTTAAGTCACAGATCCCTGTCTGGCCTCCCTTATTCTTCTGCTTGTCTTCAGTAATGTGTCCTCTTGTAATTAGACTGTAACCTGCAGGCTGGGCCTTTCTCTCTCGTTCACTCTCTCCTCTAATCTTCACACTGCACCCAGCAGTTATAGGTGCCTGAGAAATAATAACAACAACAGACCTGCCTATAAATACCCTCATTAGAGGAGGGACACAGATGCAAAGGTGGTGGCCATTTACAAATGTTTTCAGATTCATAACCTGGATAAAAGAGGCAGTCAGTTACCAGAGTGGTTACTGGGTGATTTGGTGATGGCAAGGGAGAGCGATTTCCACCCCCAGCAGTCCTTCTCTGCTTTAAAAAAACAACAACAACAGTATACAGGTTTTTCAACCTCACTTATCCCATGTCAGTGGTTTCATTGTAGGAGTGGTCTGAGCGCCTACAACCACTCAAAACCATAGTAGGAGCTTTTCTTTCATCGCTTGCCGCAGTCTGGATGCCACCTGAGTTACATTCTGCCCAACATGACACACGTTATCCCTCAGGCCCCAGACCTCAAAAGGGAAGGCTGCTGCAGACCTCCCTAAGAAGGCACATGCGGTTGTGCTCACTCAGCCCTCATTCTTCTCCAGGGCCAGCATTTGTGGCTGTTGGATTGGGCCAAAAACAGACTGCAGATGCCTGATGGATTCCTGAAGGATGTTGACAGTTGATAGGGGGTTGCCTTTTTACTGTGGGATTTCAAAACACCTACCTCAGGGATGTTCAATGTCTTTCACCTGAAGGCTGATTTTGGAGATCTCGGGCCCCATGTCCCAGTGGTGACACAAAAATACAGCCTATCTGAACTTCAGTGGAAAAGCTGGGAAGGTAGCAAACTGTAGGCAGTCAGGAGAAGGGAGAGGGGTCAGAGGGAGGGAGTACAGCACCTAAGGAATCCCAGAGGGCTGGAGTTGGCCCATGAGTCCTGCTCTGACCTGTTTGTTGCTACACACCTCACTTGTGTAGCTGAAGACTGACAAGTGGCCCATCAGCTGCTGCAGCTTCAGACCATCAAGCGTCTGGAAAAGCTTACCACAGATCCACGTGGTCCAGCAGCCTCTTTAAGGGGTGGTGTCTCATGCAGACATGCTCTTTCTCACTTCCATGGTATAGATCAGTGATGGCAAACCTTTTAGAGACCGAGTGCCCAAACTGAAAATCAGAATCCACTTATTTATCGCAAAGTGCCAACAGTGCAATAAGACCTGAATTTGCTGACCACCAGCACAAGGGGCAACATTCCACTGACCACCAGCTTTTGGCCGGCCCTGAAAAAGGCATCTGAGGGTATTTCCTACCTTCTGCTGAAATCACAACGGGTTGTGCAGACTCGAACCGGTGACCTTTCAATCAACCAGCCCAGCAGCACATTAGTTTAAACCACTGCGCCACTTGCATCCCACTAAAATCACAGTCCATGCAAATCCCTGGCCGCTCACTGACCGGCCATGCAAAAGCTCAGTGAGTCTTGGCTAAGGAGTGATGTCTTTGTCTGGCGCCCTTAATCTTTCTGAATATGTGCATGGCTGCTGGGGTTCTGCGTGCCCCTTTGGGCACACGTGCCATAGGTTTGCCATTACTGGTATAGGCCATGAGACTGGAACATGGAAGCAGGAATATATGGAACTACTCTGAGATTTTTCAAAAGTCTTACCAAAATGATGCTGCTTTTCTTCAAAATTCTTCTGTTGTCTTGTCTGGGGAAGCATTCCAGATTTGCTTTATTTCCTTTACATGAAATTGTGTGCAAATGTAATACAGGGGAATAGGCTTTGGAGAGACAATTTGAAGCTTGCCCAGGGAACTAGTTCTGTGGGGTTTTAATTGGGATAAATCACCTTGAAGTCCTTGACTGTCAGGATCAGAATCTGTCTCAATTCTTAAAAATCCAGCCACCTGGATGGTCCCACAGATATAAAAAGCCTCTCCCCAATTCTTTATTTTCATTTATCTTGAGAGGATTTGATCAGTTTTAATCGACTTAAGGAAATGTGCCAGGATACAGCTTGAAAACCTTGGATATATATCGTCAGACATCCACCAAAGTAATAGGTCTTTCATTATTACACAACAACTTTCCCAAGGGAAGTAACAACATTCACAAGCAAAAGTAGAAGGAGCCAGCAACAGATGAAACTGTGGTGTTTAAGCATGTGAAACTTCCTTGTTTCAGTATGTTGTTGTTCTTTTCAGGACAAAAACTGCAGGCTAATTCAAATGTTTCCTCCAAAGGCCATGCAGCTGGAACCAACTCTTAAGGATTTGACCTGATTTCACCTGAGCATGAGCACTTTTTCAATTGGCTTGTAGTGCTTAACCAACACTTCTGATTTAGGGATGCCATAAATACCCATGATTTCCCATTCCCAAGGTTAGACTCGATTCTATCTATTGATTGATCAATTGATCAATCTATTGCTCAGCCATCTATCTGATTTATATCTCGCCCTTCCTCACAAAGGATAGCTAACAGCTTCTATTAAAACAATACACTACACTGAGAGCATTAAACTCGTGCCTCTAAAACCACAAATATGTAATAAAGTGCAAGGAAACCATCAACACGATCAAATTTGTTGTTGTGGAGACGCAGCTTTCATCTTACATGCGCCAAGGATCCCATTCACTCACGTTGGTCGGTCGGTTGCTTGCTCTGACACATGCTAGAGGGTTGCCTTACCTGACTATCCTTTATGACGGCAGACATGGGACCATGAGAGGAGCCATGCT